CCGGGGAAGGAGCACGAAGTGCAGAGGGCCCCGGGCGCCTCCGCCGGGCCTTTGTCAGCAGGGGTTGCACAAGGCGGGCGGGAGAAAGCGAAGCAGCAACCATCAAGTCAGGAGCTGAAAAATATTACAAAACCTTAATCCGCCCCGCGGGGCCCTCTAGGGCGCTTTCAAATACAGAGAGAAATTGCCTAATTAGCTTTTTTTTTTTTTTTTTTTTAAATGGATAATTCCCTTTTTTTTTTTTTTTTTTTTTTAATGTGCCTATTTTCTGTAGCTGAATGTGGAGCAACTGTCTCTGGACATGAAGGAACATTGCTATCTCCAAATTTCCCATCTAATTATGACAACAACCATGAATGTATCTATAAAATTGAAACAGAGGCCGGAAAAGGAATCCGTCTGAGAGCCAGGAGCTTTCAACTGCATGAGGGAGATATTGTTAAGGTAAAAGGAAAATTGTTCCTGTTTCGACTATCCTCAGCACTCATATGTGTGAACAGCTCATATTTTAGCATTATTTTTTTTTAATCTTCATTTCACTTTCTCACACAGAATTTAAATTCTAGCATCGCTTTTATTTATGCCAAAGTCAAATAAAGTATGATATTAAGAGCAACCCCTTCTGAGAGGAGCAGCTGTTCCCTGGCCGTTACTGCTCCAAAATTATCCAAGACGGCAGGATTCACTCGCATCCCTCCGTGTGGCCCTGCTGAGCGCGCGGTTAAGGGATTGGGAGCGTCCTCCCGGCTCCGCGCGCCTCGGAAGAACTGCTGGAGCACAGGCAGAAACGACCCGGCGCTGAATGTCACCGGAGGCAGCACCGGTGTCTCGGAGACACTCGGATCTGCCGAGCAGGAACGCAGCCAACAGGCAGGATAATGTCCACAAGAAACAGCCCTTTTCTCGCTTCCGTTCTCAATCCCGGCAAGGATATTTCAAGGCCCCGCGAAGAACAAAAACCCCGAGCAGAACCAAACAGAGATAAAATAAAGAAACAGGACACGGGCAGGGACGAGGGGCAGCGCAGGGTCACGCGACACCTGCTAGCGGGGAGCCTGCAGCTGGGGACGGGAGGCTCCGGCGGTAATTCCATCAACGGCCACAGTAAACAAATAATAAATAACGCGAGCCGGTAAACAAAGCTGAGGCATAATCACAGGCTTTGTCAGAGCTAAAACCAAATCCAAATTTATATCCTCACCACCAAAAACAACCTCCGTGCCCATAAATTTACATAGCTTCGAGCGGCTGGTTCCTGGAGGCCCGGACACGCGCTGGCGGCAGCGGCCCCGTGCAGACACCCTTGGAGATGCCACCAGGCATTCCCAGAAAGCATCTTTTTTTGGGGAAAAGTTTCTAGGATGCTCTAAAGATGCACAGAGATGCCTGGAAACAACTCTGCTTCCAGCACAGGGCTCGGTCCCCCCGAGACAGGGCTCTGGCGAGGGAGCCTTGGGCACATACCTGGGATTTTGACGGAATCCTGGTCCATCCTGGTCTCTTCTCCTTCCAGGCGCTGCGGGCCCTCCGCTTCCGTCCTCGCAGGGGTGTCCTCGGAGGCGGACAGCGTGGTGTAGGTGCTGAGAACCAGGATCCCCAGCCCGATGCACAGGATCATCTGCACGGGGCGGCAGAGCGTCAGGCCCCGCAGCAAACCCAGCGGGTCTGCTCCAAGCAGCCCAGGCTCGGGGCAGGCATCAGAGAGACAATTTCAAGAGGTAAGAAGGAAGAAACAGCAGCTTTTGGCCGAGGTTCGTGTTTGGATGTGGATACGAGCAAGCAATACACTCACATGCTGGAAGCTGTTGAAAAGACTCCTCTATCCGAAGGGCTCAGAAGCAAGTGGGGGCAAGGAATAAGAAAAGCAAAACGCACCTGGTGGACAAGAGTCCAGCTGCAAAGACACATTCCCTAGTATTTTTCAGCAGCTACATCAGAACAGCATGAAAGCAGACCCAGCTGAGAAGAGCAGACTGACCTGTTTACAGCCTAGGCATGTTTCTAGAGAATTGTTTAAAAATTCTTATTTTTGAGAACAAGACCTTCACAAAGTCCTTGATAAGAAGCAACTTGCTGATTTCCAAAGAGCTAAGACCAAATAGGAAAAGAAAATACAAAAAGAAAGATGGAATCTGGAACCTGAGAAGGGAAGACCTCTCAGGTTCTCTGACTTAGAAAGAAAAACATCACCAAAAGGCAAATTTCTACAGCTAATTTTATCATTGTGAAAAGACAAAAAGCACAGGTTCTAATTCTACATGAGAATAAGAAAATCTACACCTTTGATTTCTAAAAAAAATCCCTGGACAAATTGGCAATTCATGGGATAACACAAGAAGGACAAGCAAGAGGATGAGCAGGAGCAGCACGAGCAGGTTTGCGGCTCACGGGGAGCACAAGTGGCACCAGTTCACACAGATGAGGGGATGGACCGCGGGCTGACAGCACTGAGGTTTAATTAAACGCCCGTATATTATTTTTACTAGTTGATCATGGCAATTGTCACAGTAAGGGCTTCTCGTGGAAGCCGGTCTGCATGTCACCGAGTCTGCAGTGCTGTGAATGAGTGAATGACTGCTCAGAGAAACTCCGTGTTGAAGATAGCGGGCAAAGACCCTGCACCCTCCGCTGGAAGCTCAGGTCTCCCCCCAAGCTGCTCTTCACAAGGTGCGCGAGAGCACCAAAGTAACAGGAAGGATCACAGGCAAAACGGAGCGTCGCTGCAAAGCTGAGAAGCTAAACGTTGGCAATAAACGGGTCTTTATTATGTGGGAATTTCTTTTCCTTTTAAGTACACCCTGCTCTGCTACGCTGGGGATGCGGCTCCTCTCTGCTGCTCTGCGCATGGCAGCACCTCGAGCTGCATCTTCCCTGGGCTGCGTCCCCCCTCGGCTCTGCACCCGCTGGGTCCCCGCTCACTGCAGGCTGCTGCTGTGAGGACACTGCTGTTGTCACCACAGGTCTAAATTGCTCCATATGCTTCAGTCAGGTGCTTAGAAGCCTCTGTGTGCAAAAGAAACCTGCTTCCTTGTACGAGACAGTGTTGCTGTCCCCTAGAAGGGAACCATGGAGCTGCCTGTCCCTCCTGGGAGAGGTTCACCAGAGTGCCCAGGGCATTCCGACTCATGCTGCGGTATTGGGGGTGCGAGGGGAGCAGGTCCTGGGCGCTCCCCGCTCCTCCAAACGCCCCATCCTGCAATGTTTAAGGAACAATTAACACAGCACGACAAAAGGAGGCAACTCCGCGTGGGGAAAACCGGGAACGGCTGCTGGGCACCGCCACCCGCACTGCCAGGGGCTGTGGAAAGGGACGGAAAACAGGGGAAAACTAAGGCTGGATGGGAAGGTGCAAGTGTTGGCACCGCAGCGGGGACAAGTTTTGCTCTCCCTCTTCCCCTGGGCTGAGGGAAACAGCCCGGGATCACCGGCCAGCGCGGGCCCCGGAGAGCCCCTTCCCAGCAAACCTCCGCAGGCAGGAAGGAGGAGAAGGTCGGCGGGATGCGCGGCAGCTCCGGACGAGGCTCGGGGAGCAGAGGCCACATCTTAGAGACGTCGCAAAGGAAACGCAAGCGAAACGCGGTGCCGCCTCGCTGCGTGGGCGCACAAAGAGCAGATTTCCTGCTCGGGCAGAGCGCGGCCGCGGGGTCTCTGCACCGCTGCCCTCGGTCGCCGCTCGGCCGCTTCCTTCCTCGCACAACCCC